GGGGTCGGGCGCCCGCCGTGAAGTGGTCCGGGCAGGGCTTGGCACCTGTGGGCGGAGGTGTCGCTGCTGCACCCTGTCCTTCCTGCGCGCGCCCCGTCCGCCCACCTCTGCAGTGTCACCGCGCCCTCTGTGTGAGCCCTTGGCATTTCGGCTGGGTCCCTGCCACTGGGGGGGGGACACTTAGCTCTTTTCACGTCCTCCCACCGGGAGGGGAGGGAGATCGAGCGTGGCCCTACTGTGCGGCCCTCAGGCTGCAACCCCTTGTCCACTTCCCACCCTGTCCGGAGCTGGGGCACATGCACGTGAGCCTGGGGCCTTTTCCAAGCTGCCAGGGCTGGGATTCAAGTCATTGTTGGCCTTGTGGGATTCGCACCTTTTAATTTTTATTTTTTAAAAATAATCATACTTTTAAGGGGCCGGCAGGTGGCGTCGTGGTTAAGGGTGCTGGACTCCGTGGTCGACCAATCACAGCTCCAGTCCCTCTCACACACACTGTCCTTCTCTGGTCAAATTCAAATAAATAAATCTTTTTTAAAAAACACTTTTAAAAGGTTGTTTTTTTGTTTTTTGTTTCTTTTTTTTTTTAAGTTGGGGCCGGCCTGTGGTGTGGTGGTTAAGGACACTGGAACCCCACATGACCAACTGTGGCTCGAATCCCAGATCAGGCAGCTCACTTTCTCACTTTCCCTCTCTCCTCCCTTCCTCCCTCCCTCTCTCCCTTGTTCTGTCCTTCTCTGGCCAAATTTAAATAAATAAATAGGGGACCAGTAGGTGGAATAATGGTTAAGGAGCTGGACACTCCCATATGGCTGACCATGGTTCAAGTCCCAGGGGTGGCTTGCTTTCTAACTTTCTTTCTCTCTCTGGTCAAATTAAAAAAGAAGAATGAATAAAATTAAGTAATTCCTTAAAAAATAAAGTTAAAATAATTTTTTTTTTTTTTTTTGGAGAGGCTTTTTGCTATAGGGCTTGTGCACTCGCCAGAAAGAGAGAGACAGAAAGCGAGAAATCACCCCCAGGGGGGATGGCCACGCCACAATCCCTTCTCCATTCTCCTCTCTGGATCTTGGCCATGCACGCACACAGCGTTGAGTTTAAGCCACCGGGTCCGGGACTCGAACCGCGGTCGACTACATGGGAGTCCAGCGACACAGCCATTTACGCCAACTGGTGGTCCCAAGTTAAAATAATTCTGAAAAGAAGTTTTTAAAATTGTATTTCTTCTGAAAGCAGGGTCTCTGAGCTAGGCTGGGTCGTGGGCACACAGGTGCACACCCAACACGCTCACGGAGGGCCTGGAACTCGAGCCCAGGGCCTTCTGGTGTGGGTCCAGTTGCATGACCACTGCCCCACCACCTGCCCTCCGGGCTCCTTCCTGCAGATGGAATCCGAGGGGAGAGCCAGGCGCTTTTCATTCAGCAGAGTTTACTAGGCTCTCCCGGGTTCTCCGCTGAAGGACCGGGGGTCGCTGCATGGAGCCCAAGAGTCCCAGCCCCACTACAGTCGGAAACGTCTTCCTCCGCGGCTACGCGTCCGGCCCCCACCACCCAGCGTTTCTGCCTTCACTTGTCTTTCCCTCCGCCACCAGAGGGCGCCCGCGAGCAGCGAGCCGTGTCCCCTCTACTCGTAAAGCTCATGTCGCCTCCGGGCTGCTGCCTCTGCCCCTCATCCCACATGGCCTATCCTCCCGCCCCTTGTAGCTCGGCTCCCAGGACTCCCATGACTCCCATGACTCATTCCCTGCTGCCTTCCCACACTGGATTCCCGGCTGCTCACAAGCCCGACGTTCTTTTAGGGCTTCATTATATGCCTTGTGCTCTCACCGAACAGAGAGACAGAAGGCAAGAAGTCACCCCCCAGGGGGATTGGCCCTGCCACAATCCCTTCTCCAATCTCCTCTCCGGGTTTTGGGCATGCACGCCCAGTGCCCGAAGTTCTAAGCTCTCCCTCACTCCTCCTGTCCTGTGGTCCTGCCTGGGAGAGGCCCCTGCCCACTACGCACCCCCTCGCCCCCGGCCCCTTTCCTGCTCAATTCTACCTCCATGTGGTCACTGTGAGGACGTGCACCAGTGCCCGGGACACGGCGTGGGGGAGCTCGAGCCCCGGAGTGGTGCCCTGGTCATATGCCTCCCAGCCTCAGCTTTCCAATCCGGAAAATGGTCCGCTCCCCTCCCGCGGGCAGACCGACTACGAGCGGCCTCGGCCCCGGCCGAGGAAGTCTGGGTGCACCACGCGTTCCCGCTCAGCGCCCTCCCTCTCGGGAACCGGCCGAGCCTCAGTGGCCAGCTCCCCGGACGTGTCCCCTCGGGCGCCCCGCGCTGCTCACCTGCGGTGGTGGCCATGGCCCGCACGCTGGCTCCAAGTCTGCAGTCCCGGGCGGCGCAGGCCCC